GCGGCTGGCAGGAGGAGCTCCCTGGATGTTCCGTGATTCATTGGGAAACGCACCCTGCCTCTGGCTGGGAACCCCGAAGTGTTGTGGGTTGGAAGGAGCTTTAGTCTCGTGCCCACTCCGCGGCTGGCAGGAGGAGCTCCCTGGATGTTCCGTGATTCATTGGGAAACGCACCCTGCCTCTGGCTGGGAACCCCGAAGTGTTGTGGGTTGGAAGGAGCTTTAGTCTCGTGCCCACTCCCCTGCTATGGGCAGAGACACCTTGCACTAGCCCAGGTTGCTCCCCATCCAGCCTCACCACCCTTAAAGGGAAGAATTTCTTCCTTGTATCAAATCTAAACCTTCCCTCTTCCAGCTTAAAGCCATTCCCCCTTCTCCTATGCTCCATGCTCTTGTGAAAAGTCCCTCTCTGTCTCCCTTGAAGCCCCTTTAGGCACTGCGCAAGCTCTGGGGTTGCTTACGACCAACCTCTGTCTCTGTTCACAGGTTATCGGGAAGCACTGGCAGAACACAGCATGAATTCAGCCCATGGCCTGCATCTCACCTCTATTACTAATAACTCGGGGTGGGAAAATCCTGACACACACCAGTGACATCTGGGCCAAAGGTGACTCTCTAGGGACGTTTAGTTTTTGCCGTCGCCGTGGATCAGCCTTTAATTTGAGGATTTATTTGTGAATTGCCATTGTAACTCTGGTGGTGGTGGTGAAATCCTGGAGCTGGCAGCAGAATCAAGCAAACCCTTCAGATTGTGTTTGATCTCCAGGAGCTGAAAGTGCCGAATAAAATTTTCATACCACTTAAAGCACATTTTGAATCTGTTGGGTTAGGATTGACGTTCCTCAAACTGAGCCCATTTCTCTACTTTAATATTTAAACAGAGACTTATTTGGAAAGACAGTATATTTTTTAAAGGAGAAAAATGATCAAGGATGGACACTCTTGCATCAGCTCATTGTTTTTTACTGAACTGCTGTACAAGACTGTAAAGTAGTGGGTAAGGTGTGAGGAAAAGCCTTTTGTATGCATATTGCATTGGGGTTTTTATATTAGAGAACTGAACAAATAACTTCAAACATTGTCTAACTTCTCCATTAGTAATTTTATGCATTCCATACAACATGGGTGACACTTTTTACTGTTGGAGGCTGAAGAAGTGAAGTTTTACTGAAAGGAGTGTGAAACTTGATGTACCTGAGGTAATCCAAGATCACTTGAAGCTATTTTTTATACCAACAAGCAGGAAAATGCACATTCAAGAGTGACTTAATTGAAGTTCTGGTGTTTAATGATGGAGAGCCCACAGATAAACTTCCCTCTGGGTCTGGGTTCAGACCAGAAAAGGAGCAGGATCCAAGAGGATGGGAGTCCTCCACTGAAAAAAGCAATGACAGAGATGCATGTAAATAACAAAGTACAGGTTGTAATAAATAAATTGCCGACAATAAAGAAGGAAAACTTAGATGACTATGATGAAACTCCTGTGGAAGCTGATGGGGAAACCGCCAAGGCAAACAGTGCTTCACTATCTGAGCCTTTGAGTTTAAACCCAGGTCTGAAACACACCTTGGCACAGTTCCATCTCAGCAGCCAGAGCTCGCTGGGGGGACCAGCAGCTTTTTCAGCTCGTTATTCCCAGGAAAGCATGTCACCCACTGTCTTCCTGCCTCTTCCATCGCCACAAGTCCTCTCTGGTCCACTGCTCATCCCTCCAGACAGCTCCACAGAGCTCACCCAGACCCTGCTGGAGGGGGAATCCATCTCCTGCTTTAAAGTCGGAGGAGAAAAGAGGCTTTGCCTGCCTCAAGTGTTGAACTCTGTTCTCCGAGACTTCTCATTGCAACAGATCAACACGGTGTGTGATGAACTCTACATATACTGCTCCAGGTGTACTTCTGACCAGCTCCACATCCTGAAGGTTTTGGGAATTCTCCCGTTCAATGCTCCGTCCTGTGGGCTGATCACGCTGACGGATGCTCAGAGACTATGCAATGCTTTACTACGTCCTCGCACTTTTCCACAGAACGGCAGTTTCCTCCCTGGCAAGAACACCTTGGCCCAGCTGAAAGAGACTGGCAGTGCCTTTGAAGTGGAGCATGAATGCCTGGGCAAGTGCCAGGGCTTGTTTGCACCTCAGTTCTACCTTGCGCCAGATGATCCCTGTATCCAGTGTTTGGAATGCTACGGGATGTTCTCACCCCAGACCTTCGTGATGCATTCGCACAGATCCCCGGACAAGAGGACCTGCCACTGGGGATTTGAGTCTGCCAAGTGGCACTGCTACCTGCACATTAACCAAAAATACTTGGGAACGTCCGAGGAGCGGGAGCTGAAGCATCTCCTGGAGGAAATGAAGGAGAAATTTAGCGAGAAAAATCAGAAAAGAACTAGGTCCAAAGTAAGTTCACCTGCTCTTGTGAAACTCCCAAGTCCCTGCTCATACATAAATACTTGTTTTGGAAGCACATTGCTTGGCTTTTCCAAGTGAGAATGCTTGTCACATCAAGCCTAAGTTAAATTTGTGAGAGAGCTTCACCATGGAAATAACATTTCTCATTAAAAGGGGTGGTAATTTCTCTCCTCTCTGGGCTGTAAGTAACCATTCCAGCTGGCTTGGCTTTGTTGGGTCTTGTTCTGTCCTAAGGTATAGAGACTCTGGAAAATTCACAGCTATTGTGGGAATTTTCATTCTCCCATTTGACCTTTGAGTAGGTTATTTTTTGTGGTGTGTGTTGCAGCAGCTGAGCAAAGCAGAAAGGAGCTTGAAAATCAAGTATTACAGATGAATTCCTCACTAGTTGTTTGCACTCCAGCACATACACGTGGGGTGGATGGAGACCTGCCTTGCTGGCTACCCACCTCATGACTTGTGTGCAGGGTAATGGTGCATTGCTAAATGGCTGTTTAGAAGCCCCAAAGTCTGCTTGTTCAGCAAGAGCTTTCTGTTTAAACCACTTGTGTAGAGAGTTATGCCAAAAAGAGGAGGTTTTAAGCAGCCCAAGTAATGAGCTGTAGGCTGGTATCTTGACAATGGTTAATAATAGACGTCTTATTTTTTCCCAAAAATACTGCTGCAAGTCTGCACTGTGGTTCCAAAATACTGAGCTTATTTGTCCCTTGGAGAGCTACTTTAAATGAGAAGACAAGCACCAGATAAACCCTGAACATCATAGATGTTTCCATTCATAGAAGCTGCAATTTAAGGGGTATAACTTCAGAGGTGTTTAACTGGTTCCTGACCTATGACTGTGTTTCAGTGTATTCAGTGTCTCTGTTCGATGGCTACTGGTTTGATGATACACCCATTTTGCCTGTTGGATGTTTTGTGGTGAGTTTCAAAATAGCAGCAAGAGCAGCCCAGATGGTTGAGCCCAAAAAGGGGTGCTACAAGCTGACACCTTTCAGCATGAATTTCGGAGAAGTTAAGTGTTGCAGCAAGGCTTGCTGTAGTAACAGGTATTGTTACAGTGGTGCCAGCCTAGAGGAAAGGATTTCAGCAGCAAATTCCCATGAAAGTCTGCAGTATGGCATGCTTCCACGTGCTGAATTAGTTGAAGATGCAGATAAGTGCCTAGCAAGGAGACTTTGCTGTTCAGCTGATAAAGACATGGCAGTCTTTATCCTCGCACTGCTAGTGAGCTATAGCATGGTGGATGCATCAGTGGAAATAGCCTTCCATATAAATACTGCTTCCCTTTCCACAATAGCAGATTTCAGACCATGAGATCTTTCAGTTTCATGTGCACAGATGAAAAAAAACTGGCTGAAATGAGCAGAAACTAATTTAGACTGGACCAGTGCAAATGAAATACGGAAACTTTCTGGAGTCTTCCGCTGCAGATCTGTGTAGTTGTGTCTTGCAAAGCAACATATGAAACCAGAGTGAGAAGCTGTGAAAACTTGAATTAAATGAAATGGTGGGGGAGGGTTTGTTTGGGTTCTTTTTATCTTGTGGATGTTCATCGGGAAAGTACAAAAGATTGGAAGAGTTTCATAGGGCAGTGTTGAAACACAGCCTCTGTTTCCTTGTGCTGCTTCAATTGTCTTTTCACAGAATCACATAATGGTTTGGGTTCAAAGGGACCTGAAAGACCATCTAGTTCCAACCCCCTGCCATGGGCAGGGACACCTTCCACTAGACCAGGTTGCTCCAAGCCCCATCCAGCCTGGCCTGGAACACTCCCAGGGATGGGGCAGCCATGACTTCTTTTCCTTGTTTCTTATGTGTGAGAGAGGTATGAGGTAGAACACGTAGACATTCCCTTTCCTTACAGTCCTAAGGGAGTTTATTTGTAGGTTGTTCCATTTGCTATTCTGTCACCTCCTTAGCACCTTTGCTGAGTCAGCCCTCAGAAGTGCTGATGCATCTTTGAGCTTATCTTGGAGGGCCCAGGAAGAACAGTTGCCCTTGGCTAGGTCTTTATCCACCTAGTAATAATGAATTACTCAAGTCCCATAGTCTTTGGAACATCTTAGATCCTGTGCTTTGCCTTTCTCCTTAGCATTTCACTCTGAGTTTGTTCACCTCACAGTGATTAAATATTTTGTTTCAATATTTTAAGAGCAGACAAAGTACTCAGGGGGTTAATTCCTTTCTGTTCTCTGTGCTAATGAGAAAGCTGTGAGCGTTGTGCGAGTTTCTCGTTTTCTCTGGAGTTCCAGACTGCAGTGCAACATCCACCTGCTCTTCATGAAACAGCTGTTACCGAGTCTCTGCTGTTCTCTGCACTGACAGATTCTTGTTCCCTTTGACTTTGCGACAGTTTCTGGTACTGTCTCTGCACAAAAACTTTGTCTTCCTTCTGAGACTAATTCCTTGATTTGATCACTCTGTGTGGGGAAAAGCTCACAGAGTGGAGAGTTAACATTGCTTCTGAGTGTTTTATAACTCCCTTCTCTGCTCAAACTACTGCTTAATGATTAGGCTGAAACCACCACTTACCTATCTAATTTTTTTGCCTTTAAAAGCAGCTTTGTCCAACTATCTTAGAAGAAAAATAAGTAATTTTCCATGTAGCCCTTTTGAACAGTTTGGTTAGAAGTAATTCAATCCAACTTGGATAGGCTGTGTTTACACAATTATTTAAGAGCATCTGAAATAAACTAATTGTTGGGTAATGAAATATACATGTATATACTGAAGGAGATTCTTTATTTTATTAACCTGGATGGTGAGGGAAGAATCCTGTTAGAAGAAGACTTCATGTTTATTTATAGTTACATTTCATTTCCTTTCCTAAGTAAAAATTTGATTGCATGCTATGAAATTCATTTGCAAAATGCACACAAATGGGTAGACAGTAAAGTCAGTTTCCATTTGAAGTAGGTTAAAAAAAAAGTAAAGATTTGACCTAATAACTTGAAAATAGATATTACCTGATAGATATTTTCATATGTAAATATATAAACATGTTGAAATGTGTGTCCTAAAGCATGGACAAGATGTGGTTCAGAAGCTAAATCGGATTAGTCTATACTAGCTACAGCATAAGCAGAAGATTATATGTGCATTATTTAAATTATTAGAGTGATCTGAGAAGCAGAAAAAAACTTGACAAGTGTCAGACTGAGGCTGTTTTTCTAGAGATTATTAAAGTCTTTGTTATTTAAAAGCTTGATTATGAATTTACCACTCTGGAGCTTTGCTTCCTTGTGCCCTCCCTCCTTTCTGCCTGCTTTGGAACTGATTTGAGGAACTGCAGGGGTGGAGTTAAATTTCAGTTTCATTGTGAGAGCTGAGGTTAGTGGGCTGGAAGTTTTGATTAGAATGACAAACCCCATTTAGAGGTTTGTCCCTCCGATGCTCTAGTGGTGTTGGATTCTGCAGACCACACCTGTGTCACTGTGTGCTCTCTGCCTGCCAGGGATGAAGTTCTGTGGCAGTTTGTTTCAGGGTATGTAAATATATACTTTTTAAATAATGTATCTACCACTCAAGAAGTTGTGAAGATGTTAGAACACTAGATGAAGTTTTCAGTACAGGGTTTTTTTTTTTTTTGTTTTGTTTTCAGCTTTATAGGCTTTTTTTTTTTTTCAATTGAGCAACTTTCCAAAGGCACTGGGTCTGGCCAGAGTGATGTTAACTTTCTTTGCAGCAGCCTGTATGGTGCTGTGCTTTGGATTCGTGGCTAAAACAGTGTGGGTAACACACCAATGTTCCAGCTGCTGCAATAAAATCTGAGATAGAAGGAGAAGAAAGGGGTTTGGCATCCAAGGTGGATGTTGTTTGGAGCCTGACTGGGCACCTGTGTGCTTGGGGGAGGTACTGAGTGATACCCTTTGCTTCACTCGTGGTTTTTCTCTTTCCTTCACCTATTAAACTACCTTTATCATGATCCAGGAGCTTTCTTGCCCCTGTCCCCATCCTCGAGTGGTGCTGAGGGAGTGGCTGTGTGGGTGTTTGGCTGCTGCCTGGGGTCAACCAACCACACCTTACCCAAAACCTCACGTCCCAAGGCTGTTTTAATACAGTGAAATTAGGAACCAATTTCTAGCTACAAGTCTTGTTTAAGTATATAATGAGACACCTTTCCCTTGAAATTAACAGCACCTTTGCAGGGAGAACGGAGTACAACCAATAGGTTTGACTAGAGAGTAATTCCAAAGGTGTTTGAGACACACAGAACAAGAATTGCTCCAAACACAGAATGCACAGAAGGTTTTTAAGATGATATATTCAGCTTCACCTGAGTTAATTTTGTTTGTGACTGCACAGGGAATGGAGTTTTCCTGTTACTGCTAGCAGCTTTGTGCTTCTGTAATAAAAATCTGTGACAACTGAAGAGAGTTTTGTCCCTGGGACACCAGTAATTGTTCTATTTTATTTTGCAATAAAGTATCTGGCAGGTGCTTACTCTGTGTAGATACTTTATTGCAAAAGTCTCCCTACATTCCTATTTTGGGGATACTAGTTTCTGCTTTCTGTTTCTCCCTAACTTGTTTAGCAACTCTGGCAGAGTTCTGGAAACTCAGTGGAGCTGTTAGATAGGTTTGTAAAGATACTTGCTTTTAATTTCATTACTATTTTGCCCATAATGGGAAATTGGAGATGGAAGAAACCTCTGTGGGTTCCATCACTGCATCTCTGCTGAAGACACTCCCAATTCCCTGTACCCCTGTTTCTGGTGTGTCTGTGTTAAGGGTGTAAATGCCATTCCCCTGAGGAATGCTCATGAACATGTAAATAACATGAACACATGTTCCAGTTACCAATTTGTGTTCTTTTTTTTAGGCAGAGTCACAGCAGAACCTGGAATTGTCACAGTGGTATCCAGTTATAAAGCAAGAAGCAGAAACTGATGCTCAACCACCCTCCTTTCTCCATCCCAGGTAACTCAATTTCCTGTGTAGACCTATAAGCACTCTCCAGTATTTAAATACTTTTGGCTATTTAAGGATAATTTAAACTGAAAAAAATGTGCCTTTAGCCTGAACTGTTAGGAATAGCACAGGAGTGACTGAACACTAACTTTTTGTGTGTGAATATTAATGAAATGCTTATGAGTTGGTTTTGGTAGAAGACTCAAGCTGTGATCTGTGAGTGTTCTTCAGCAGGCAGTACAATGGAAATGTAATTAAAATTTCCTCTCTCAGAGCAGAAATGACAGAACGTTTTTGATCTTTCATACTACAATGCAGTGCATGCACTTGGAAAGCTGCACAGGGTCTGTTGACCATGAGGGCAACTTCATTTCCTTCCAGAAAAGACTTGTAAAAGCTGTTTAAAGACTCTTCCCCACAGTGGAACAGTGGCTGCAGCTGAATTGTTGACTAGTTTTCTGGTTTTAGAAGCCAAGTGCATTTCCTTAATTTCTTACACGGTTTGTTATCTGCATCAGTGAGGGAAACAGTTTTTTTTTACATGCCTTTTGCCCTCGCTCCTCTGTGGTTATTCATGTACCATATTTGGGTCAGACCAGACCTTTTTGGCTAGCAGTATGCAGCAAATCAGCACACACTTCAGACGGGTTCCCACACCAACAAGTGAGTGGTGAAACTTCTGTGGTGGTGCCTCAGTTAGCTGTTTCTGTCAGTGCCTTCCTTCAGCACTAGGAGACAGGGAAGTGTTGAAGGCAGCAGGGTTAAATCCAGCATTGTGACACTGGTTATCTTCACACTGACCTGAACACATCTGGGACTCTCTTTCCTCTGTATGAGACAAAAGCTGAGTGGTGAGGTGAGCGTGGTACAGAGGGATGCTCCCAGGAGCTGTGAGAATCCCAGTGGACAGCTCAGTGTATGTGGGATAGAAGGTCCAGCACTGATCTTGGCCCCAGCACTGTCAGTACACAGCTTTGCTATTTAATAAGGGAGATGCTCATTCCCACTTCACTGATCACTTCCCCATCCTCCGTACAGGGATTATGAAAATGCTGGAGAGTCTGGATTCAGTGGCATTCTAATTTCACTCTTTGCATTTAAATGAAGACTTCGTATGATTTTCTATATGAATTTGTTTTTTTAATCAGCTGTGTTTGGAAAATCCTCTTGTTTGATAGCCTCAAACCTTATCTAGATAATCTGCTCAGTAAAGATTAAGTGGATTGTTAGGACTTTTTTATGCATAGGAAAAATGTAAAAAAGATGTGCTTCATTTTCATTGATATTTCACAGTTTGATCACATGTGAAATTAAACTTACTGCTTTCTACCAGCCATCATTTATTACATCTAACCTTTCACTGTGAATTTTACTGTTCTGCTGTTTCAGTTACTACCTTTACATGTGTGATAAAGTGGTTGCCCCGAACGTCTCTCTTGCATCACAGTATAAGGATGTTGCGAAAACAACAGTCAAAGCTTCAGAAACAGTTAAGTCCTCACCTGGGCAGTCAGAGAAGAAGCTCAGTAGTGGAAAGCACAAAAAACCTGTCTCCTATCCAGAGCTTTCTCTTGAAGAACAGGAAAAAATTGACTTGAAAACTGATGTGGAGCAGCATAAACGTTTAGGTGAGTAGTGAAAATTCTACTGAAGTCTTTGATTTTTATACCACAGAATTTGGAAAGCTCCACACCAAACTAGTATTTAGTGACATCCCTTGAGGCAAATTTTTTTATAAGTTCCACAACTTGTTGTAATCTCAGTTTTCTTTGCATTTTTTCCCTCTGGAAGTGTAATTTTCTGTGATTATTACAGATCCACTTGTGCCAACTCGTCCTGTGAGAGGTGGAAAATCCGAACGTGTTTCTTCCAAACTCACTAGAGACTCCAACCATGTGGAAGGAGGCAGTGAGGCACGAACCTTGTCCCCCACTCTCATGAAGGACATCAGCTGTGAAGATGACAAGGGAAAGATCATGGAAGAAGTCATGAAAACCTACATCAAGCAGCAGGAAAAACTCAATACTATTCTGCGGAGGAAACAGCAGCTCCAAATGGTACAGTGACAGTCTGAGTGCATTTCACCTGTGACACCAGAAAACTGATGTGAGCTTGCTGGCTCTGGAATCAATATCACAGATTACTTCATTTAGAAACATCAAAACACACAGATCATGTTCCCCTCAGCTTGAATCCAGACACCAGATCTTTAGTGTCCCTTAGATGCATCAGGTTCAAGCCCACAAATTTGTGTCTCTTCAGTTTGTGTCCAGGCAGCTTCTGCTTTTACTGTATCCAAATGAAAACTACTTCTTCCACTTTTAAGTGCTTTCCAAACATTTAAGTATTTTGGCAATTATGATTTAAGTCTCTCGAACGTCTCAGTTTCAGGGTTTTAAAGATGCAAACATCAGTAGTCTAGGAATGGTCTTATCAGTGCCCTGTATAAAAACAGTATCACCTTCCTACTTCTGTTTGCTAAGCCTTGTTTTTAAGGATTTTATTTTGAGTCTTTTTTTTGAATAATGGATGATTTTAGAGGCTGATGTTCATTTGTGACACTGCTGTTTTCTGAGTTAAATACTGTCTTTGCTTCTTCTATTCATGGACCAGACCTAATAGGTTAGTTTAGTTTAAATATTAAGCTCAGAACCCATGAGCTCAGACAGGACTCTAGAGCTGCTACTTTTAAGTTGTTCTGCTGTTGCAAGTAAAGATTTTAGATAAGTTAAAAAGAAATTAAGACTTTAAAAATATCAAAATGCTAATGTAAAAAGAAACCAAACGCATTTATTCTGTTTTCTGATGATGCACTTCTTGCATATTCAAAGTGTATTTTAGTAAATCAGTGCTGCTGCTTTCTGAGGTTCACTGCTGGAAGTTGTGAATCTCTTTCTGAAAGCTCCATGTACATGGAAGTATAAATAATTTCTTAAAAATGAGATGCTTGCTCCAGATTTCCAGGTTGTCATTGATCAGTAGATGAATATCATTATCAGGCTGTTGTTATCAGGAGATACGTATGGCCTTTCTTGCCTCATTGGTTCCAGATACACATTTAAATTCAGGTTTTTTTGCTTCTCTGTCTTAGAAGCAAAGTGTATGTGATCCTGATTTTTCTTTACAGGAAGTGGAAATGTTAAGCAACTCTAAAGCTATGAAGGAACTAACTGAAGAGCAGCAGAATTTACAAAAAGAACTTGAGTCTTTGCAAGCAGAACATGCTCAGAGAATGGAAGAGTTTTATTTTGAGCAGAGAGACTTGGAGAAGAAACTGGACCAAGTGATGAAGCAGAAGTGTAGCTGTGACTCCAACTTGGAAAAAGACAAAGAAGCTGAATATGCAGCACAGGTGAGAAAGGGAAGTTCATTTCAAACAAAACCAAACTTAGCGTGTCAGGAAATTGTGAAGTTGTTCAGCCACCTCAAGGTTTCGTTTTCTCTGTGTGTTGTGACACCACAGACAAATGCCAAAATAGGTCAGAGTGACAGCAGTATTTATTTCCCTGTTCCTTGATTGTAACTGAGGTAGAATGGAACTTATGGAAACATATGATGTTATTGATAAAATATGAATCTTAAGGTCTGTTACGTCCTCATCTAAAACATCTTTTCAGTGTATATGGGCTTCCCTGTGATACAGAATTAAACACTCAGTTATGGAAATGAGCTATCCATCTTCTTCCCTTTATGTTATAAAAAGACCCAAACCTCTCAGACACCTTTTTGGCAGTTTAGTAGCATATCTTGCTGTTCTTTCTGTTCCTTCTTCTGTGCTATCTGCTGAGCCCCTTCTGTGCTCTACCAAAGCACTTGGCCAAGAGTTCTCTTGGAAAAGAAAATCATGTTTGTGTCTCTCATTCCTCTCTTGGGTTCATATGTCAAAACCTATGGAAGAGATTTTTTTCCTTTCACTTTCCTTTCAGCTTTTTCCATTGCTTCTTTATGTTGGAGGTTATTAATGTCGTTCCTATAGGAAAAAAATAGCTAGTGCCAAAGGGAACGTTGGAATGCCCCTCTGATATCAGCTGCAGTTTAAGTTATAATAATTAAATGTATAGTGATGTATTTTGTACCATGTCACAGAAAACTAGTCTTAACAGACTAATTTTGAAAGTAAACAAAATTGCAAAACTTGGGCTCAGTAAAGCTTTGTGGCCCTTTGTTCACGACTGTGTGTATTTCCTGTTCTTACTGCCTCAAACTGAGAAACAGGCAGTACTTGAGAGACAGGTTTGGGTATTTTGGGGGAGTAGGGCAGCGACTAACATCATAAATCCTCCTCGTGAATTTAATTTCATGACATCCCACTGCACTGATTCCTGGCCTCTGCTGCCAGAAATAATCCTCTCTGACTAAGGCCTGATTTACTAAACATCTGGTACAAGCCCTATTAGTGCAAGTAACAACGTGTTCTCATTTATGAAGATAATCATGGATAGCCTGTTTTGTGTGGCTTGTGTGTGCCTTGCTTTCCTGAGAGGGTAAAACCCATGGATTGTTCCCCAAGGAGATTGGTTGAGTGTTTCTTTTGAAGTTAGACTTTGAAATCTAAATACATTCCTGGTGTAGAAGCTGACTCTGTTATTACCTGTGTGGTAGAGCTGTTCGCAACATATAATCTGAACCTTTTTCTCCATTTATCACATCTTACAGTAGATTTTGGTTCCAAGCAGTTGTCAGAGGTACCAGAGTTAAACAGAGGTCCTGGGAACAGGCAACTTCCCCAAGCTGTGTGTACAGCAAAAAGCCTTAATCCAATGTTTTCTTGCAGCAGTTGCCCAGGCTGCCTTCTCTGTTTGACTGTGGACTGGGAGGAACTTTCTGCATGCATCAAACAAAACTAATAATTTGGGATTTGCAACTTGCTTAAAAGTCTCTTCTCCTCTCTAGGCCTGTCTGAAGACACACTGTCTTCTCTCCCTTTTGGGCTTTTTTATTGGATTGTTTGGTTTAATCATTGCCTCACCCTGTTAGTCACAGTAGGGCAGAATAACCAGTACAGGAGCCTTTCCTTAGAGCTGGAAATCTGAACTCAGCCAGAGGTATGTGTGTAGGACGTGCTGCAGCATGCAGGCAGTGGGCACTGTTGTACTGCAGCAGCTCACTGAATGCAGGCTGTGGAGCCAAGGACACTACTAACAGCCTCTTGCTGTCCAAGAGCTACTCAAACATTTCTGGTTATAGAAGTGGAGGTGAAATGTTTCTCTAAAATCAGCACAGTGGTTGCTTTGCCCAGTACATTTTGTAGCAGTTGGCAAACACCAGTGATCCTTTGTGTTCCTGCTTCTGTCATTCTCAGGAACTGTTTTCCTTGTTGTCAGTGAGGTATGTGATGTCAGTGATGATTTATATCAGATAGATACCTATAATTACAAAAGCAGATGGATTTTTAGATTCAGTGAGGTCTTTGTGTGTAAGGAATAACCCCATAAATCAATGGGAGAGAACATAACTGGTTTCCAGTCTCCTCCCTGTTTTAGCTGCTGGTGGTACTGTAAGCAATAAATAACTTTCCCACACTTGAAAAATTCATCAGACATTTCCAGATCTCTCTGTAAGTAAGTTTTGATGACATTCTGGCAAGTTTGAGCCTTTCTTTATTCTGAAGATGAAAAGAAATATTTAATTTCTGTGTTCAAACACAGAGTATTTCACAAAAACCTTTGGGTGGACTTGGTTTATATTTGAACGCACGTATGTGCGCACAGTTATGTTCAAGATTTTCTGATTGTCCTTTCTGGTAATTCTGTTTCATTTACACCAAAGTGTATCAGTGTTGGTGTTTTTGTTTGTTCCAGAGACGCATTCAGGCTTTGAAATAAAGGAGTAATATTTTGTCAGGGAAGAGAAATGAACTTGGGGAATGAGAAAGTGCAGTTTATTCTGGGATTTGTGAAACGCCTGATGCAGAGATCATCACAGATTATATGTATTACTGACATGGTGTGACAGCTCATATAGCTTAAATTTAGACGTATTTAATAAAAAAGTGAGAAAGTCTAATTTTTATAGTGTGACCTTTAAGCAACTTTGTACATTGATGTCATTTGCTAATGGTGTAGTAGGGAACTGCATAATTCTTGACAACAGTAGAAGATGAGCTGATAAGTAGTGGTGAGCTGAAACACGTTGATGTGTTGTGGTTATCAGGGACCTCTTGATGTTTGAAATAAGTTTGCTAAAATTTTTTCTGCCTCCCTGTCTTTCCTCTCTTTCACAGCTGGCAGAGCTGAGGCAGAGGTTGGATCATGCAGAGGCAGATAGACAAGAGCTTCAAGATGAACTGAGACAAGAACGAGAGGCACGGGAGAAGTTAGAGATGATGATCAAGGAATTGAAGCTACAGATCCTGAAATCTTCAAAAAATGGGAAAGGAAAGTAGAAGTTGGAAGAGGAATCCTGGCTGTGTCCTTCAGACAGGGTGTTTTGGTTTTTAATGAATTGTGAACGATTTCTGTGTGCTGAGATAAAGTGTTCTCTACAGATTCCTACTTCCCAGACAATTCCAGATGAAGCTATACATAGATATAAATAGTAGAGATAGATAGATAGATAGATAGATAGATAGATAGATAGATAGATAGATAGATAGATAGATAGACATTTTTAGATTTTCCTAACCAATGAAAATCTGCATTTATTTGTACTGGTGTTTTTCTCAAACAATGAAAAATACAAGACTCTTGATTTAGAGTGACCAGTTTCTGACTATTTCTAATGCAGTCTTAAGGACTCTACACCTTTTAACACTGTCTGTTAAAACATGTGTAGTGATCTTTATTTTGCTATCAATTGCACATCGTTATAAAAGTACATTAGAAACATTCTGAGTTCTTCAAAGTCAAAAATAGTTTGGGTTTCAGTGAGAATTAAGTGTTCTCGAACTGAGGAAAGTCAAGGCAGCTTTTCATCTGTGAGGCAGAGCTCAAAATTGCCACCATGATCAACGATTGATCAATCAAAAGTGATTTCCCAGCATGAGTTTTTCCCATTTCATTGTGTGAAGTCAAGCTGATCTTTTCAGTATTGTCTATTTAACAACATGTTATCAATCTAAAGAGTGTTGGAGCCAGCACTTGCTTGCTGTGCTGGAGGAAGAAAACATTAGGTTGTCAGGGTTGGGGTTTTTTTTGTAAATTAAAAAGAAATTTACAATGGAACCTTTGGAAGTTAAAAATTCATGTTTTCTTCTGGTTTCTTCCCTATAACTCAGTTCTTCTCTATAGTATAGAAAGAAACTTTAATAAAAGGCTTAGAGGTGAGGCTTTTCCTCCTAGAAACCAAGAAAGCTTGATTTAGCTGTTTTTCAGATACTAATGCTTTCAAGAAAAATAATATTTATTAAGGAATATGTATTACTTTCTTTAGTACCCTAAGCCTCCACACCTTGAGCTCCTTGCCAGCTCGTGGAGTTTCCTTTCATTGCATAGAACAGGCCTTAACTGACATCATGATCATAGCTCAAAAACTAAACTTCTGAGGTATGGCACTTTGAAAAAAACCCATTTTGATAGTCTCTGTATTTGATTGGCATGGTAAGGTTACCATGGATTACAAAATACAGCATGTTTGTTAAGCTATAACATTGGGAAATGTGTAATTGTACAGAATTGCTGTTGTATGTATATATAATGTTTGAGTACTTCTGAAGTCTGGTTCCTAGTGGGGTGACTGCATGGCTACAAAGTTGGATGAAGAAATACCTTTTTTTGCACTTCTCTCCAAAAAGTTGGATCCAGCTGGCAGGTGTCAGCTGCTTATGTCAGTGATAGGGATACTTTAGGCATTCTAGTATTTCACTACATAATTTTAACTTGTGCTTTAGCTTCTGGTTTTGAGGTACTTAGGTTTAATACTCTCTTAATACTTCATTTAATTTTGGATTAAATCACTAGTAAAAGCCTACATTGATTATTTTTTCCCCTGAACAGGTAAAACTGAAGACTTGTGAGTTCTTTTTTGTTTCTCTTAGTGGTATAACAGGACTGAATATCACAGAGAAAGATAAAATTGCACATATCTTTAAATTGAATGAGAAATGAGGTGTTAAATGAAATAGACTGAATATCACAGAGAAAGATAAAATCGCACATATCTTTAAATGAAAGGTGTTAAATGAAATGCCACAGAGTCATAGGATGATTCTTTTATGTGTACAATTTTGTTTATGACCTCTGTGTCATATTTACACTGACAATTAAAGCAGGTTAGATTAAATATCAGTTTTCTTTGTCAGTGTGGGCCAGAGTCATGGAATGGTTTGGGTTGGAAGGGACCTTAAAGATCACCTAGTTCCAACCCCTGCCAGAAAAGAAGACCCAGGTTACATTTTCTCTTTCTTCAGCTCCATCTCTTAATTTTTGCTTTAATAAAACAAAACCAAAAGGAAAAGGCCTGTTTTTGCAGCCTGGTTTGGAGGGAAAGTTGCTGACTGTAGATGGTTCTGGCTGTGTGTTGCTGTAAAAGCACCATTAGTGTTTTATTGTACCAACCACCAAACCCATGGACACAGGGAGAGGAGGCAGGAACGTTGGGAAAAGTGTGATGGTTAGGGAACAGAGCTTGAAGTTGTCCAACTTGATTGGCAGAACCTCTGTTGGATTAGCTAGATGGGCAAGGGAGAAAACACCATCCTGGGAAACCGGGAAGTTCACTGAGGTGTTGTGAAGGGATGGAGAGATGTCACTTGTAGTTGCTTTCCAGTGTCAGTGTGTCGAACCAGACTCGGTGAAGTGTCCGTGTAGATAAGGCCATATGCTCCTTTCATACAGCTGCAGTAACTAATTCACCACAGTATTTATAGCTTAGCCACTGAATGTATAGAATCCTCCTGGGATTATTATATTAGAATCCTGTACATTCTGTTTCCATTCAGGTCTTGTCTATGTTCTGTGACTTCTGCTCAAACTTCCCCTTCTGCCAGCAGTTGATGTCCAGCAGTGGCAGTGGAGGGTTGGTGTAGGTTCCTGTGCCTCAGCCAACACTTGGCTAACTGCTGGAGGCTCTCAAAACGCTGGTGATCATCTTTTGTACTCATATTTTCACTGTTGCAAGAATTCCAGCAGCTATAGGAAGTTATACCAATTCCAACTGCAGATAAGGCCTCCCAGTCGTTTGCAAACACCTGATGAAGCTAACAGAACATTTATTACCATGACTTTAAAGGTAGCTCTGTAAATACTCCATTTAGTCAATCTGAAGTTAGAATGCATTTTAAATTATTGTAATCCTCTTAAAAAAATTCTTAAATGCTACTTTCAGGCTCTTGAAGTAACAGAAAGCAATTTTCATACCTGTAGACTTAATTTTATACCGACTTTAAGTAATAATGCATACATAAATGTGCCATAGACTTTTGTGTGCTCACAGTCTCTGAAAGATAGTTTTTTAGTCAGTTGTAAATAATGCTGTATAAGTTTTAGAACAAATACATGTTCACCTCTTTTTTTTCTTTTTTGCTACCTTATGCTTGTTCTATTGAACAGTTTAGTTTACAACCTGATGTAGGAACTTGGAGTGCTCACTCAAGGGCCCTCACTTAAGTGAACACTTAATGGTAGAAACTAAATCTGTCAGTAGGCCCTTGCTTTTAGTCATAGCATGTTCATGTTGTGTTATATTTTTGCATTCAGTTATTGCTTTGCTGATCTTTCAGGCAGGAAGTCAAATAATTGTGACATGAAGCCTGTAAGGAAAAAAAAATCCTAAAATTGTCCCTAATTTGCAAGTTGCATTATTAAAACACCTAGACCAAGATCCAAGTTGCCTAGTGCACCTTTTGGAACAAAATAAGTAGAAGTCAAGGTGAATACCTAGTTTGCTCCTATACTTTTTTTAAAGAGAACTTTCACGTGCTTTGTGTACTTTAATCAACAGAATATAATTGCTTAGAGAGTAAGACTCCTGTGATCTTGGCAGTCTGGAAGCATCCTTGCTCACAGTGTAGCCAGGTATCCCTAGATAAAAGAGATTTATGTCTAAATCTCCAAACTTAATCAGTCTGTGTTTAGTTTCTGTTCAGTTTGAGTATTTAGATGAATGTGGTTATGTTTCACATCCTTAAACTAATTTTATTCTATCTTTAATATATTGATAGCTTAGGTATAAAACCATTTGTATATAGTAAAGGCAAAATGCAATTAGTGAAGTAGGAAAAGTTGGGTGGGAGCATAAAGCTACTGGTGGCCTGGAAGAAAAATAAGGCTTGGCCCATATTTTCGAAGTCACATGTTTTATTCATACATTCTTGTTTTGTATGGGGGAAGGGATAGCTAGAATGTGTTACAAAACTTTTGGAAACCTTTCCTAGCATTAGTTGTGAAGTTGGCCAGGAAGTGGTGTCATGGTCAGCTTCCTAGGACCCACTTGTTTGTAGAGTATATATTTTGACTGTCAGTAAAGATAACAACTTTGTATTTTTTCTGCACTTAATTCGTGTAATTAATCCACACAACAGAGTTTTCTATGACATGGTGAAGTCAACAAAAGACATGATTACACCTCCCTGTTAATCTGTGCTTGCAATGGGTCAGTGTTTTTATTTAAGCCATGACTAGTAAGCAGCAGAAAGCTGCAAATCTCCATTTTCTTTTTGCTCATGACATTTGTAGTGTGTTCATCGGTTTTCTTTACAGAAAGCTGCAGAATTTTCTGTTTGCTGCATATATCTATTTAAAAAATAGTCCTTTTTTAGCTTTTGTGGAAGCATTTATTGCTTACAACTTGCACGACGATTTCCTAGTGTGTCTCCATTACTTAGCAAATTGATTTGGTCAGGGTTAGTGGTTCAGTTGGAAAATGCTTGAAAAAACGAGTTTTAAGCACTTCATCAAGCACAGCAAACACAGTATAAGACTTTGAGAATTGATTAAATGTAACAATATCAATTATGCTTTTTTTTTTCTTCTAAGAGATACCTCACTTAAAGGAAAGCACAGCTGTACTGTATTTAATTATAGGAAATAATAAAAGGTTGGTCTGAAATATTTCGTTGCCATCACGTTGCTTTCTGTGATTGACAGATTGTTTTTTGTGTCTTCATCCTCACTCACTCTCTCAAGTATTTATTGCTGTTGACATGCCAGTATGATTCTCTCCAATGACAGAAAGTAGCTGCAAAACAACCAAGTCCATGTTAGCTCGAGGCAACAGGTTGAACAACTGTTCTGAAACCATGGGAGAAACCTGTGAGAAAGGATCAGTGTGTTCAACCATGGTTAATCCTTTGCCAATGATGTACAGTCTTATCGTTGCTGTGGTTGCATTACATGACACACAAAACTGTCCTCTACCTCACGTGAGATTTAACAAGATATTTTATATGGTTTTAGTAAAACAAGATGCATCTATCTGGTCACTTATTTTACAAATTTTGAATTATATTTATTGAAACATGACATACTGTGCTCTGAGCTTATACCTCAATTGTATTTTGTGCTGTTATCCATTTTCATGCCTTGTAAATACCTGTATAGATCGTGGATTCAAAAACAAATAAAGAACTGTAATGTCAGGACACTTGTCTGGAGTATTTTTGCACACTGGCTTCTGAACTTGACTCTATGAAGGTGTTTTTCCAACAGTGCTTTTCCAAGGAGGACAGAGCCTTCCTTGCTTTGATTACAGTAAATTGAAACCTGATTACACTGAAGCTCGTTAGCAGAACTCCTGTGGTCTGCAGCAGGTCCCCACTTCTCTAATAGGTATTTTTAGCAAAATCTACAAGATCAAAGCCCTCCCTCCCCATGACTCCATCTTCTGAAGCTCTTGTCGTTCTGTAAAGGTATTGACACTAAGATTCCTATGTATCTTGGCATAAACTTGGTGTCTATACCTGTAAATACAACCACTTGCACACTTGACAAGTTCACTGGTGCCCAGCTTTGCTGAAACTGACTGCTCCAGTGATGTCTGAGTTCACACCTCTCTTCAATAGCTTAGTAATGAATGAGATTAAAAACACACATTGTCAGGAAAATGCTGAGATTATACAAAGTTACAATCAGAAATCAGTGTGTTACTGTATTTGCTGAAAAAGTAGTTACGGCTGATGGTGAATACGCCCTACAGTGACTCTTAGTGTTCTTAGTGTTTGTAAACCATATGGTTATGCTGTTTAACATTTTTGTGTACCATCAGAGAGCTTAAATAGCAGAAATATCAGAATAGGAGAGGGAAGGAACAATTGAGGAGGAAAGAAGGAGCGGTTCCTCCAAGCTGTATATGAATGGTTCTTCCATTTACATTGAGCTTCCACCACTTACAACAATAAACTGCATTTTGTTAGTCACTTAAAACACCCTATATTGTAGTAAAATATAACTTTTAGTGCAGATAAGATTTTGGAGATTTTCCAGGTGATTTTAATTACATTGAGCAGCTTTTCTTGATGGATAAGCAGAAGCAGTCACAGACATGTACTTAGATAATTTTCCTTCCCCTCAAATCAGTGCAAAAATTCTTTGTCCAGGTTTTAGGTAATGCTCTTGTATATAGGAAATCCTGAGGATGTTTCAGATTATTGCAAACCCTTAATGGTGCCATGTACTTGCTGTATTTTACATCTGAAGACAGGATCAGTATGAACCACGATAAATATGAAATTAATAACATTTTGATGAGCTCAGCCTTCACTATGGAAGAAGATTAAGAACCATTAAACCTGTTTGGTTCTGCATCCCATCTTGTATTTTCCTGTGGCTGTATTTCCAAACAGGGAGAAGCTATTGGGCTGAAAATGTAACAAAAAAGTTTAAGGTGAGTCATTTGGCTGAGAGAGAGCCATGGGGTGTTGATAGGTTGGGTGTGACTAATAGCAATGCCTGTCTTGTGTCAGGGAGAGCGATGTGGATCAAGGAAAAATTCTGAGTGAAGGGTAAAAAGATTGATTTTTTAAAGGAGTTCACAATGTTGCTGAAGTAAAGGTGTGTGTGGCCCTTGCTTTTAAAAAGGCAACTTCTAAGTCTATTGCCCTAAGTGTATCCGTTTATTTATCATATTGCTGGGAAGTCATTTCTTATTTCTTACTTTATTGATCTTGTAAATCATTGTTCACTTGTCTCATGCTAACTTATATTCATTAACTATTGTTGGTGTGATTTATAACGCTGACAAAATGGTAAATGTTCCCTGTCTGTATCAACATTAATGAAGCAATTCTCTGTGCCCTATGGGCATCAGCTCAAGTACTGCTGAATAGTGCTAGTACCAAAGTGTAAACTCTACTCCTTGCCTGATGAGCTGCTGCACACTCCTTGATAAATACAGTTGTGAGGGAAAAAGTGGCACTGAAAAGCTTTGGTGGTTAAGGAAACCATAGCTGTAGGAGTCTGAATTACAGTAGTATTTGTCCACAACCTGTGAATTAATACCTTGGAGCATTTAAAAAAGACTTATATTGTGCTTTGGGATGTGCCTGCACTACCACTGTGTAAAACGCTTCTAATCTCAGTTTTGGGATGAAATTGGTCATCTTGTCTCCTTCTGAATTCAGGAGGAGACATATGATTTGTCCAAAGCAATTGTATAGTCTAAGAAGTGGGACGCCACCAGTTTCACTGGGGAGATGACAAGTTTATCTCCTGAATAATAAATAAGTAGGAATATTGTTTTGGGAAAGATTAAATCCACCTAGAATTGAACTCAAGGCAACATAAAAATGGTGGTTGGATGCAAGTGACAGCGTGTTCCACCTGCAGTGAAGAACAAGCTATGCAGGAAGGTGGAATCACATCAGGAATGTCAATGGAAGGTCAGTGGGCAGCTTGGCTTCATAGAAGTACCATAAACCAGGGATAGAAAAAAACCCCAAGGAGTAACCAACAATATATGTGAAAACAACTATCAAATTTCTATTTACTATAAAAGCTCCTTTTTAAAGATAATTTTCAGCTATATATGTAACAACTCCGTGTTCAGAGGAAGCTTTGACAAAACAAAACTGTGGCCTCATGTCCTTGAATTTTGAATCTAGGGAACAGGTGACAGATGAAACTTAGGATGGTCTTGTTTGTGGATTTCACTTTATTTGCTAAAGAACACTCTTGCATGAAGAGCAGGATATATATTTAATTCCCCGCACCTTAGTCTCAGAGCGCAGCTTCCAGTATTTCGTTCTCACTAACAGCTCTGGGAGTGAATCAAATTCATTGTTATGTCATTTTCCTGTCCCTTTCCCTCCCCATGCACCGCAGACAGGTCTCCACTAGTGGTCTCTCCAGGCATGTGGTATCTGCCTAGATCCAAACCTTCCCTTCCCAAACTCCGCAGCGCCGGGCGAGGACGCACAGCGATGCGATTTCCTTAGGGATGTGTTGGCACGCGGTAACACATGTAAGTGTTGTGCAAATACAACGCGAAGTTAGGAAACATCCTGCCTGTTCCTCCTGGTGCAGAATGGGACGATGTGGAGTTTCTCTTCTTTTGGCATTTTGAATTGGGCTGTTCCTGTTCTAGCAAATGTCATAAAATTCATATGATAAATTGACTCAGACTAAAAGTCTGAGTTAAAAGCTGCTCATTTTAATTCGAGCATTCAAAAGTGGGGCTAAAGTCCTGTTAAACGTGTATTGAAGACTCTCTGAGTGATAGTTAATACTTCTGAAAGTCCAGGCACAGCAGAGAATGGATCTCCTATGTTTTTGCAGTTACTGAAAACACCAGGAAAGAACCAAGACTGATTTTTGTCCCTTTAGTACAGCTGTGCTGAAGGCTTTGATGAAATGATCAATTCCACCTCTCAAGTAACTCTGGCTACCACGTTTCTTGCCTTATCTTTCCACAAGGAGGTACCAGCACGACCATTTATCTTCAGCTCCAAAACACTGCTTTAATTTTTCTCCCTTGATGCTAAATTTTGAATAGTCAGGCTGCTTGCACTAGAATAGAACCCTCTGGCTTGTTTTCCAGGCACGGCTGGGTGTGATTGTCCATCTCCTCTCCACACCCTCCTTCCCCTCCAACACTCTGGATGAACTGGCTGAAGTTGGGGCTTCTGCTTGCTCCTCCCATGGTTTGTGGGGCTGGAGGCAGCTCTGACCCCTCCCAGGGAGGGAGCTGGGCAGAGGCAGCACAGTGCTCGCAGCAGAGCCTGCTCAGGGACCTCATCCTGCCAAGCCTGTCCCTCCCGCTCGCAGCCCCCGGTAGTCCTAGCAGTTGGGATCCACAGCTGTACAGCTCCGCTGAACCCTCGTGGGCACTGTCCTGTCCAGCTCTCCCCACCAAGGGACAGAGATGGTGGCCACCTGCCTGCACCTGGCTGGATTTGTCTGCAGTTTTGTAGGGTGGATCGGGGTGGTTGTGGCGACGGCCACCAACGACTGGGTGGTGACTTGTGGCTACACCATTACCACCTGCAGGAAGATGGATGAGCTGGGATCCAAGGGGCTGTGGGCAGACTGTGTCATGGCAACAGGTCTCTATCACTGCAAACCCCTCGTGGACATCCTCATTCTGCCAGGTAAGTGTGCTCCAGCCTTTCCCTTCCCACCCAGAGTGAGGGGTGAAGCCTTGCTCTGAGCAGCACAGGTCCTGCTGCTGGAGGAGTTGATGGTGAAGCTCCTTCGTCTTCATCAGTGAAGGAGATGATCCATTAAATACACTAAAGAATGTGGATGTTAACTCCTAATGTGATTCTGATTGATTTATACCTGATTTTAAACATACCCAGGTATCATGTGTTATCTGTGGTTACTAAACTCCAGTTAATGTTTAATCATTGCTCTTGGTTAAAGCTCACTGCTCCTTTCACATCTTGTTTCTAGATCACACTGCAAAACAAGTATAGTGCACTGAGGTGTAATTGAATACTTCAAGGTTTGCTTTGAGAGGATGGTGAACGATTACAAATGTTAAGGTTTGGTTCCTTAAAATGATTTGGAGTATAATGAATCATTCAGCATCTATTATTAATGCTGCTATGGCTTTTAATCTTTCAGAAGATCATCATTAGTCTTGATGGTCTTGTGGTTCCCACAGGTTCTAAGGCAAGACAGAACTTTTACACAGCAAACAGATGTAACTGTTTGTAATTTTATATTTTTAAATGATATAGTAATTTTCATCTATTTTACTGCAAAGCAAAATTTAAGCAAGGTGTTTAATCAGTATTAGTAAATCTTTTGAGCTAATTAAGCCTGCCAAGGTCTTATGTGGTCTGGTCCCTGTAAATTCAGTTAGTGATCTCACAGGTTTCAATCAGTCTTAACTCTGTAGTGTTTTGTTCTGCTGTGGTTTAGGTCACATCATCTCTGCCTGGTCAGAGTTGCCTCTCCCAAAGCTGAGAGGGTAGAAGTTACCATTCCTTGTAGTTTTCTTTCATGTTTCCTTATTTATTTGTTTAAATTGTTGTGAAAATAATTTTACAGGAGGCCGGGAGGATTATTCCTGAATTTCTCTCTGTTACAGCCTCCTCTGTATCACACAGTGCTTAGCAATATTGAGTCTCTCAGACTCTCCTGTTCTCCCTTTCTCTGTGTGTGTATACTTTGATTTTAGAGGGTTTGCCTTCCTTATTGCTACTGTTGTTAAATCTGAGAGAGGTTTAACAGAAAACAGAGAGAAGGTTTGCCCTGAAAAAAAACATTGCTGAGTGCCGTTTAATAAATAGATAAAATGGGTCTTGCAGCATCAGAGAGAGCAATGCTTCCCTCCAGCAGGCAAATCACAAACCCAGGTGCTTCTGCTTGTAGCCTGTTTGATACCCACAGCTTGTCATGAGAGGGAAATTTATCCTGATGTGCCCAGGAGTCTTTCATTGTCTGAGTCAAGTCATTAAAGTGAATTGTTTGTACTCTCGTTTAATTGGGACTGGCTGCACAGAAACCACACTGGGCACTGCCATCTACTTTATTTAGGGTCTTGTTTTATGCCCTGAACTCCTCAGGTAACTTTTTTTGTTAAGTTTCCTCTTGAAAAATTCAAGGGCATACTCAATACACATAGTGTCTGGAATTCCAGGAATAGTGAAATCCACATTCCTGGTGTTGTACCTGTGTATCAGTGGGATGTGCTTGAGGCTCCTGTTTGCTGGTGTTGCTTGAGGCAGCACAAAACTCTGTGTCTGCATCTGGCAGCTCTTTTTGTTATTAAGAGGGGACAGAGTCAGCACACTCACTGTGCTGAGACTGTCCTGAGAGCTGGGGGAAATCACCAGGCACTGGGGCAAACCTGACACTGGTTATTTTTCTTTTGCATACAGGTAATTTCTATATAAATTTTATTCAGAGTAGCTAGTATGGAACTATATAAACTTAACTCTGCCTCAACCAAACACAGCACATATCTATAAATTATATATAAATATACATAAAATTATAGATACACAATACATATAAATATTAAACAAATATACTCTATGATTTATAGACTCTCACAGAGTGTCAGAAATGTCCCAGCCCTGCCCAGCACACCACAGACCCTGCTGTTCCTCACTGCCTGGTGTCAGGCTGCTGCTGCACAGGGACAGGCAGGAGAGGGGAGGGGTGGTAGCTGATGAAATGCCAGGGAATCCTGTGATGTCCATAGGGACCCAGAGGAATAATGTGGCCCTTGGTTAGGGCAACTCAAGCAGCTCTGCAAAGTGCAGTCACTTCTCCTTAAGGAACGGCTGTGCCAGCAAACAGCTTGGGCTCTAGGGGCTCCTCTGAAACCTCACAGCCAGGCTGAGCTCCTGCACCCACCAGGATGTGGCTCTGTTTGAGGAGTGTCCCTCCTTCTCCTTCTCCTCCTCCCAGGTCAACAGTGCTCTGCACCTCGGAGCAACTCTGGTAGCATCCCATGGACCTGAGTGTTTTAGTAGTGAGTGTTCAAGTATTCAGTCCTCTGAATGATGGTAGATTCTTTATGACTTTAAATTCATGTTATTTAATCTTTTAGACTTCAAATTTGTTATTTAATCAAATAACTATGCTAGAAAAATATATAGGAAAACTCCTTCCTAGCTGTTTCTCCTACTTTTCCTTCCTGTATTTTCCAGCTCGAATGTTTCTCAGTGTCTTGCTGGGAAGAGCTTGTGTTTTCCAGGCAGTGCTATTTGTTTGAGCCTGCACAGCCCGTGTTTGTGCACTGCCCACTGCACTGCAGCCTCACTGCCTTATGCCTGGTGCAGATTTAATGTTCCACAGGGATGAACCCATCTCCCACACTCCATGCAAGTCTCAGGAGCTAATCAAACAGGAGCTGTTGTCCAGAGGTTTCCTTCTCTTGTGCCAAGTATTCAAAATCCTCTTTCCTTGCCTCGCCAACAGGGTATGTCCAAGCATGTCGAGCACTGATGATTGCAGCCTCTGTCCTGGGTCTTCCTGCTATCTTCTTGCTGATAACAGTCTTGCCCTGCATCCGCATGGGCCACGAGCCTGGAGCGGCCAAGTACCGGCGATCCCAGCTGGGAGGGATCCTCATCATCCTCCTGGGTAAGGCACCCACTGAGTGTGAGAACCAGAGTCCTTCCTCTGCTCCTGAATGGCACAGTGCAGGCTGGTTGAGTGTGTTCACCTGGAAGGATGTCCAGGTCGGGATGACCCTGAAGTTCTCCAGCATCCCTGCAGTCTGTGGGGTGGACAAAAGGCATGGAGAAGGGTGTTGTGTGGGGACCTCATAGCAACGTTCCAGTATCTGAAGGGAGCCTGCAGGGAACCTGGAGAGGGACTTTTTGTAAGGAACTGCAGTGATAGGACAAGGAGTAATGAGGATAAATTGAAAGAGGAGAAATTTAGATTAGGTATTAGGAAGAAATTTTTTCCTATGAGGGTGGTGAGACACTGGCACAGGGAGGTTCTGGCTGCCCCAACCCTGGCAGTGTTCAAAGCCAGGCTGGATAAAGCCTTGAGCAACCTGTTCTGGTGGGAGGTGTCCCAGGGCAGGGCAGGGGGTTGGGGCTGGATGATCTCTAAGGTCCATTCCAACCCCTTAGGGAACTATGAGTGGGAGGACAAAGGCAGGAGGCAGAGAGCAAAGCAGTGTGAGGAGGAAGGCCTGTGAACCCCACTGTGCTTTGTCTTGTGGAGTCCTCAGGCACAAACACCACTGGCATCTGTGAGCGGGCGATGGGCATAGCACAGGGACAGCTGCCTGCAGGCACTGGTTTTACTGGTTTGCTGTGGTTAATTTTGGAAAAGGGTCTAAACTTCTAAGCTGCCTACAGGGAACTGACTGCCTCCAAATCTTCCCTGGGCATAGCAGATGCAGCATGGTAAAATAAACTGAGGCATGAGGGAAGGTGAAGCCCCTACTGAGTGGGGCTGGTCCTGTGGCAACAGTAGGGGAAGGAGCACAGAGGTGGTATGGACATGGGAGGAGGGATGGCCTGTCCCCTGTGCCTCCCAACCCCCTCTGGCCAGCCTAGCCCTTGGCCTCCAAGTTCCCCTGGGAATTTCTTCCCGTCAGTGCTTGCAGAGGAGATTGTTTTCAGCAGCACAGACTGTGGAGCTCATTGTCCCCCATGCAACACCTGCATGTTCTTGAAGCCTCGTCATCTCAGCAACAGGCTGCGGTGCCTTGTTTTCACCCGTCTGTGTGGCAGAGGAGGAGGGGGGAGGGAAAGTGGCCTCTTTGTGTGGCTCTGCTGGTTGCTGGCAGCCAGCACTGACATCATGCTCGTCTTCTTTCTTCTTCTTCTTCTCCTTATTTTTTGTCAAGTGGGCACTGAATATAGCTGCACACTCAGAAGGGCTGTCCTCTGGATGCTCCTTCCATGCAAGTGATTCCTCCTCCAGTGCCTTGTGTTTAGCACGAGTCAATACATCCAAAACCTAAGGGATTGAGTCCAAGGGACCTTATTGGTACCTGTGGGGTTTAAAGGCATGTTGTCACAGCTGGAATTCCTAAAATCAGCTTTATAGGGCCTGTCTAGGATATCCCAATCATGAACAGCTGTGTTAGAGAGCTGTTGGAATGTGACCTTCATCCCTTCCCTGAAACCTTGAGTCACTTATTTGGGCTCAGGAAAGTGAAAAGTGTTTTTTTCTGCCCATGAATGAAGTTCTAGTGCTGAAGGAGCCTGCCCTGCTGGATTTCCCCTGCCTGGGATGGAAAGACCCAGCAGAGCTGCACTTTATCACAAAATCCATGAGGTTTTGGTTCCAGTCAAGGAGAACTGTGCTGCAGGTCAACCCTGTTTGCATGTCTGCAGACATGGAGGCAGGAGGAAATCCCAAAGGGAAAAAGGATGACAGGACCAGCACATGTGTGGCAAATTGCAGTGACAGTATTGGGTAATGCTGCATTAGAATAGGTGAGACCTCATCTTGTGGTGTCACACCAGGGTTTGAGGTCTGGTGTGCCACTATCCCACCCTGGTCATGCTGCAGCGTGACACCAGAGAGAACAGATGTGAGGGGATGATGGAGGGTTGTGGTGCTCCATAAGCCAGATCCTCTCTGACTCACAACGTGGTTTTCCCACTAGATAGATCCTGTGAGGAAAGGAAATGTGAGAGATCACATCTCACACATTTATCTCACATTTGTATCACAGAGACATTGGCAGACAAATGCTCTTTGGGCCAGATTTGAACCCAGTCTTACTGATTTTTACCCCTGTGAGTTTTGAAGCACCTAGAGGTGAAGTGGTTTGCTCATGTCACTCATGACCTGACTGATCTGGGCTGGGACCAGCAGCCTGGTCACAGTGTTTTAGTCACATTTGCGATAATGCTCTTCACCAAAGAAGAAAAAATAAGCTCCTTTTGCTCTTAAGTTGCTTTTTTAAAAAACCCCAACCAACTCAGATTTGCTTCTACAAATTTTTCCAGGCTGATTGGCAAGACAGTCCCTTAAGAGGAAGAATAATGTACAGAACTTGGGACTTTGACATTATTTAAGCTGATTAATGACCTGTTACTTGCAAAATGAGGTGTTACCATTCCAGAGCATTTAACAAGCACAGATCAGGCCTTGAAAGATATAATACTGACTTAAAATTCATTATATTCTGGAAGTAACATGCCCTGGACTGTTCTTATTTAACCCCTGGCCACGAACTCTCACTTGTGGTTTCCACAACTTCACAGCCTCCAGACTTTTCCTCTTCAGGGAGACCAACTCCCAGAGCTCTGGTTAAAAGGAAACAACCCCCAAAACCCTCACTAACACAGCAGAAATAGGGAGTGAGGATGCAATCAGGGGAACTTGCTCCACAGTAAACTTCACTTGCTGCCCAGGGAAGGGATGTCAGTTTGTCACTGAAATTTATTATGAGGGAAAACAGAAGTTGAAACCCAGTGTGGAGCCAAAAAAAGGGTGTATATATCTATAAAGTTGAAAACTCACCAGGAAAACCGTGGGCTCAGATATTCCACAGATTTTTCTGTCCACTGACAATCACAGGCTGCAGAGTGCAACCTGTGTGCACACCCTCCTATCCTGCTGCTGTTGTGTTTATGGCTTTGCTTGATCCTATCTGACTGAGAGGATTGATTTATTGCCGAAAACAACCGTCAGCAGAGGTTTGCTCTGAGCCAGTATGAAAACATTTCATCCACTGGTGTTGATGGAAAAACCCTGCCCAGCCTGTGTTGTTGATGCTAATTTGGGGGACCCCTTGCTGGTAACCAAAAGGGCATTTTCCTCACAGAGTTGAGGGACTGAGGCACTGGAAAATATAGATGAAATATGTGTTGGTGGGAATTGCTACTACAAAATGACCTATCAGCTACTGTATACTAAATAAAAGTTATTACTAAGTTTTTCTGGATACTGCATAGGATTGACTTGTAAAACAACAGATATCAATATAAAAAGATTGCCTTGAACTTAGCAAAAAAACTATGTATTATTTCAACCAAATGCTTTGAAAGAGAAATCTGTGTGACTTTGAGTCAGCAACTCAAGATAGTTAAATTTAGCTGTGAAAGAAAAGTATTCTTTCTCCTGCAGAAAGCCTTTAACGCTGTTAAGGAATTTGGCAGGGACTTGCTGTCCCTTGAGTTAGAGCAATCCTGCTCCTTCTCCCCCAGCTCCACAAGCTCCTTCTGTGCTTCATGTTTCTGTGCACTCCCAGCTGACTCAAAGATGCCTGTAATACACAGTATTAAGAGTTTCAGCTCAGCAGATTGAGCTACTGCAAGTCCACAGTCAAAAAGGACTTGAAGCACTGGGTGATAGGATGTATCTCTGGATTCACAGCTATTGGATGGAACAAAGAAATTTATCCCATGAGGTGCTGAGATGATTTTGCTGGTAGAGGCAGTGGCTTTCACAGGGTTGCCTGCTCTAGCTGCAAAAAGCAGGCAAGCTTTCCATACATGTGTCCCAAAACATACCTGTTTTTTCAACTAACTTGGTTAGTCTGATATAATTTATCTGATATATTCCTTCTGTTTGCAGACCTTCTCTTACTTTTCTGCTAGACTATATAGGCTACAGCAGCTCTACTATCTGAAGACTTGCTTATGTCTACATAAGCAGACAAAGGCTTTCATGGCATTAACACAAGAGAAAGGATAATAATTTCTATCCAAACCTCTTTTCCATGTAGGCACCTCTTTTAGAACTTGAAACTTGCCCTAAGATGCCTTTTATCAGTCTGTTTGGGTTTAGTGGCAAATCACCTCTTTTTCTGCCTTTCCGTGTGATACAGCAAGATGAAAATTTGAGTCCACTGACTGATATTGCAACTGCTGACTGTCCTTTTCCCATCTTCTCGGAGGATTTACAGCCCAATCTAATCTATGCAGAGCAATGAAACCCAGTCCTGTTCCAGGGCATTCCTCTTGCTCAGCAATGGGCTCACTGGTGACTGATGGCAGCTGGTGCCCTCCGAAGACAGAGAGGTCAAACGAACCCATGCAAAGTCCTTGGCTTGTGTTTCACAGGATTCTGGTATTGTCAGCATTAAAATAAGGTGGTTTTACATGTAGTGGAGCCACATGCACAAGAGATGCCATTGTATGAGCATCCCTGAGGGCTCCTCTCTCCCCACTGCAAATGTTTTCTTCAGCCCTGTGTGATGGGGGAGGGTCTGGATAGATAAGGCTCTTATAGTCTATAGACTGAA